CTGTTTTGTTTTTCCCCCTCAGGTTAGTTTCCGCACCTCAGTTTTATTCTGTGTTTAATAAATCTTTTCGAACACCTCACCTGCCTGATCTGTGTCTCCACCTGGGCTCCCCGATCCCCACCATGACACACAAGAAGAAACAGAACTACGACAAAGAGACTGGAATGACCGTAGACATACGTACAATGGCAACTATAAGACAGCACCCATAAATAGATGCAAAATCACCACAAAGGGACACAAAAGGACAAGAGACAAAACAACCACAGAGACCACAAGAACACAAAACAAGAGATGTGAAACACCTGCAAAGAGACACAACACAACCCTAAACAGAGGAAACACCACTACAGTTATGTAAAACAACCACAAAGAGACACAGAACGACAATGAAAAGGCATAAAACGGCCACAAACAGACACTAACAGGTGCAAATAGATGCAAAACTGCCAAAAACAGTCAAAACTGGATGAACCGTTAGATTTTCAGGTGTGTGACTTCTCGTTCTTCAGGGAAACAACCACACCTGAGATTAAACTCTTATTTCATCAAAATCCCTTTATTCTCAATGTACTATTTGCTCTTATCGCATTCTGCAAAAAAAAATGAAACAAATCAGAGTTCTTCTGTGCAACTGATTGACTCAGCTGTGACCAACAGGGAAAATTTCAGGTTGAACTGCAAGCAGTGTTTCCTCAGAGAGACTGAGAGCAAAATCCAACCTACTGGATCAATGAATAAGTGCAGCATCGATCAGAACCAGAGAACAGAGGAGCCAGTTGTTGGAGATACATTCAGTATGATGGAACATCTTTCTACAGCTGATGGTGGAACATCTTTCTACGGCTGATGGTGGAACATCTTTCTAGAGGCTGCAAACATCCATCCATCCATCATCTCTACACCTTAATCCTCACTAGGGTCGTGGGGGGCGGAGCCTATCCCAGCTGACTCAGGGTGAAGGCAGGTTCACCTGGACAGGTAACCAGTCTATCACAAGGCTGACTGTAAACATGTAAAGAGGTAAGTATCTACCTGCAGCGTCTCTATGACAGATGTGTCGGCAGCAGCAGTAGTTCAGAGGACAGTTTAGTTCAGTGCTACAGCTATTAGCTAATGTGTCACAGCCTGAACCGAAACAACAGACTACAATAGCACAGCTGTGTCATCCTCCATGTAGCCCGCAGCCTCCGTCGGCTGTTCTAACTGCTGTGACACAGTCTCGTGCCTGACAGACACAGCTCAGGGTGAACTGACAACGACATAATGCAGCAGAAGTCAGCTCGGTCTGTGGGTCAGATGAAATGCTAAAGTTACTATGGGGGAATGAAAGAGTAGTCCAGGAAAAAGACCCTACTGCAACCTGTTAATTGCCATCTGGTTCAGCCACACAATGACGTAGTAAAGTCAAGTCTAAAAATCTGAACATTTTGAGTGAAGTCTGGTGCTACGTCTGTGCGGTCACACAAGGACTGAATAAAGTCCACTAGAGAATTAGGAAGATTCTGAATGAAGCTTGGTGTTGCAGATGTTTGTGTCATCACATAATGACTGACTAAAGTCTAGTGTAAAATTAGAAATATTTATTAAAAGGTCTGGAATTCTAGATGTCCATGAAACCACAAAAAAATAATTTATTCATTTTTTTTGTGGTTGCATCGACAAGTCTAAAATTGTACATATTTGAAATGAAGCCTGGTAATACAGATGTAAATGCAGCCACATAATGACTGAAAAAAAAGTTTAGTGTAAAATTAGGAACCTTCTAAATGAGGTCTGGTACTATGGATGTTGATGCAGCAACATGACTGAATGACGCCGAGTAGAAAATGTAGGGTTATTTTAAATTGTGTCTGGTACTGTCTGTGCACACACAAAAAACATTAGTCAAGTCTAAAAGTCTGGCACTGGAGAAACTGTGCAACCACAGAAAGGTTAAGCTGAGTCAAGTCTAAAATTTAAAATATTTTGAGAGAAGTCTGATGCTGTTAAATGTCTGTGTAGCTACATGAGTACAGAAAAGTCATGCCTAAATTTGGAATATTTTAAGTAAAGTCTGATAGTACAGATGTATGTGCAGCCACGTAATGAGTGATTAGAGATAGATATCATTCAGAATATTCCAAATCTTAAATTAGAAGATTTGGAATATTCTGAATGATATCTGATAAATAAGGACTAAATCAAGTAAACTCTAAAATGAGAAGGATTTTAAATGAAGTCTGGTATTACAGATGTCAGCTGCAGCACAAGGACTGAATGAAGTCTAGTATAAAATGAGGTATATTTTATATGACGTTAGCTTATGTTGTTGCAACCACACAGAAAAAAAATTAACTAAACTCTAAAATTAGGAATATTTTGAATGAAGTCTGGTACTGTAGATGCCAGCGCAGCCACAAAAGAACAAAATGAAATCCAGTACAAAACAGGGACGAGAGCTTCTGCGTTCGTTCACGCGGCCCTTTGTCCGGTCGTTCTCTGCTTCTGTCCAGCTCTCCCACTTCGCTGCTTTATAACTGAGGCAGCGTTCATTCATTCTGCTGCTCCATGCTCAGCACATCGCTGCTACACCAGCCTCTGCAGATCGACAAATCTCCTCCTCCTCTCCAACCATCCCTCTTTTTGAAACAGTTCAATTTCCTAACCATCTATTAAATAACCAATCACTCTCACCCAGCCGGTCGAGGCAGATGGCCGCCTTTCCTGAGCCTGGTTCTGCCGGAGGTTTTCCTACGATGTAATCTGGATTCTGTAAAGTGAGGACCATCTCGTTGGTCTCCTTGTTCTTGTGTTCATACTGTATTTATTTGAACATTGTGAGTTTAGGTTTGTGATCTCAGGGACTATCTGTGTCATGCCTGCTCAGATTGTTCCAGAGCATCACTCGAGCAGAGTCACTTCCAAACTCAATGCATGTGATCCCAAATAAATGAGTAAATCTGACCAAGGGTCCTGTCTGAAGTGTGATGAATGAAGCCTGGTAGCATACGTGTCCACGCAGCCGCACCAGGACTGAATAAAATCATGGCTAAAGATTAGCAGAATCACAAACACTCAAACCAACAGTCGGGCCATGCTGGGAGTCACAGATGTCACGTTTTTCCTCATCCTGATGTTGGACGTGGATGAGGACATGAAGCCACATGAATGAGCAGGTTGTACACATCCTGTTCATGTCAATAAAGTTTGAAACTGGTTTCCTGTTTCTTCAGAGGAGGCGAATGAAAACAAGCTGGCGGTTGGACGGCTACATGAGGAGGAATCTTCCCCTTTAACCTCCATCTTTCTTCCTTCATCCATCACCACTACTTCACTCCTGCCTCCGCTCTCCTCCGTTGCCACGGGAACAGGGCTGCACTTTATTAACTGAAATGATGTCACCTCGATCTGCATATTGACCCTGTCAGCACGCAACAACGTGTGTGTGTCTGCGTGTGTGTGTGTCATTAGCTCTCCGAGTGTGAACCAGAGAATCATGAATTAGCCATGACAGGCTGACAGACGCCCGGGGAGCTGTTCAACACACACACACACCCACACCCACGCGCACGCACAC